TCCCCCCCGCCCCCCCCCCCCCCCCCCTCCCATGGCCATCGGCTTGCTACTACCTGGGCTGCAAGGGGTGCCGGGGAAGCTGCTGCTGTTGCACCCACTGGGGTGCAGGGAAATAGGGCAGTGAGCCTAGAGCTCAGCCCTCAGCACCGGCTTCCCTAGCCTTGCTCCCTGCCGCCTGGCCCAGGCCAGGGCCGGATCCTGCCATGCCTCGGCCTGACCCATTCCCACCGTTGTAAGTCCGTGTCTGTTGCACCCGTGGAGTGTCCGTCTGTCTGTCTCTTTGTGCAAGGAGTCCAGCGGGCGGTGGCAGAGCCCGCAGCCATCAATAAACTTGTTGGAGAGCAGCAGCAGCACAAGCAGCCAAGAAGGGACTGGGGAGGGGGGACGGCCCTGGGCCCCCACAAGGGGCAGAGTGTGGCCAGGCCTGGGCCCCAGGGCAGTGCTGCAGACAAGGCCCCCCCAGGCACCGGCGCCAGCCCCAGGGACCCCATGCCAGCACCACAACCAGCCTTTACAAAACAAACCACGTTTACTGCACAGTTGAACACAGGCTCAATGTGAGCAACTTCAGAGCTCCTGGCACCTCTGCCAGCCCCGTCCGCCCTGCCCAGGACAAGGCTGGCCCCGGCACCCCGGCCTGCACCTGCACGGGGGACTCAGCCAGGGAGTGGGGGCAGGAGGCAAGAGCAAGCACAGCCCCACACAGGTGGGGGCCTACAGGTGCTTCCCCGGCATCAGGCTCCAAGACCCACAGCTCAACCCAGGGACACGCACCAGTCCCACCGCCCTCCCTGCACCAGCTCAGACCAAACAGCACAAAAGGATGCTTCTGGGCCCAGAGCACGAGGACAAGTGTCCCGAGTGTTCCAGGTGATGGCCAGGAGCAGCCATCCGTCCCCCAAGGCAAGGGCCCAGAGGGTAAGAAGCACCAAGAAGGGGCATACAGCCCCCCCGGACAGCACAGCCTGCCCCTGGACTGAGCTCCTGCCCAGGGCAAGCGCTTGCAGTGGCAGCACGCGGGATCCACCACGCTA